GTGGGGGTGGGGGTGGTGGTGGGGGGCTTGGGGTTGGTGGGGGTGGGGCGTGGGGGTGGTGGGGGTGGGGGGCGTGGGGGTGGTGGGGGTGGCGGGGCCGGTGGCGCCGGCGGCGGCGGCGGAGGTGCCGGTGCTTTTCGCTTGCGATGCTGCTGGTGCTGCTGGCATTGTTACCATCGTTGTTGCTGTTGTTCGAGACTCAGTACGAGGGGCGAAGACTCGTCACCACGGAATCGCCCAGCTGCATGATCTTCTTGCGGAGGCCTTCCTGAAATCTTATTGAGGTCTAGTGTTTAGTTCAAGGATTTCTCGGACCGGACGCAGGATTAAGCGTTGGAGCTTAAGGCGAGGTTCGAAGCTAGGCTCAACCCTGTTTCGAAACCCAGCTTTGGAACCTGCATTCAAATCCAAGTCTGGGCTTCGGGGTTGAAGGCCTCAGGCCCAAATAACCAAAGCCCCGGGACCTCCCGGGAGAGTCGCCGAGGGGCAAATTCCAGGCAGAGTTTCAAAGCCACCCCAGCATCAACGACTCCCCAGAAGCCCCATCACTGAGCGCACCGAGTTGTGAAAAAAAATAGAAGTTCGCAAGCTCTGCCCTCGGAGCTCTCCTCCTCGTCGCGAAGGCTTCGGATTTCCTGGATCAACTCCTGCCTCGGTGACGGGGCGTCTGGACATTGGGAATTGCAAATTCCGTATAATGGGCTATGGTAGATAGTACTCACCACCCTCAAGCTACACAAAAAAACGGGCGACTCCAGCAGCTCGAACATGTACAGTACCGTATCATCTGACTGCTCACATCTTTCCATGCCAAGCTGCACCATTTGTTCAAACTCCTCCGCATCCTTTTTCAAGGCGCTTTCTTGTTGATTCGTGTCCTCCTGCTTGAGAACTGTCTGCAAGATGACGAAGCTTACCTGAAGAAGTGCACGCATAAGCTCGCAGCTAAGACAGTGAAGGCCCAACGTAGCTGGCTTTCACTACGAACACGTGAGCAGGCAAGGGAACATCACCGATACCGCTCGGACACCCGTGCAGCATCGTGCAGGTGCACAGAAGAGGGACGCTTCAGGATTTCCAGAGGGCGGTTTCTCAACTGCTAAACCCAAACAGTTGAGCAACCCGACATTACCAAGACCCGGCCCAATCCGTTCGCCTTCACCCACTTTTCAAATCAAAGTAAATCAAAGCATCACAACCACTCCCTGCCCACCTACGCCTGAAGCAACAAGCTGGCCACTTAGGCTCGGCCCCTGACAGTCCACGGTAAATGCAGCCGGTCTACAACATTCTGCGTTCTGTCCTTGGTGCCCTTTGCTGTCGCCGTCGCCGTCTCCTGCTTTGGGGGATAGGATTGACTCCGGTTTCGGAGCCGGAGCAAGCATCGATAAAGGCTCACACGAATGCCTGAGATAGGGCCACCTTAAGGAGCTGCCACGGCATGACCGAGCAAAGCACAAAGCCCAAAATACGCCATCCCAACGGTTTCCCGAGAAGCGTATGTTGGTAATGGCGAGACGGAGTAAAGTTTTTGGGGTTTCATGCCCCGTGGCACCCAGGCCCACACCCAGCACATCCCAAAACAAACGAACACGGTCACAACCTCGGACTCCAAAGAGCTCAAAGAAATGCGTGTGAATGGTTCATTGATCTGTGCACGAGCGACTTTTACTCCAGCAACCGAGACCTCTCAAGCCCTCTCAGACTAAAATCTTGGGCAACTCCCCTTCAGCCCCCGAAGCCCCCACACCTCCGACTTCTCGGTCTTCCCGGCCACGCTCTCCGTGTCTTTGCTGGAGCGCACGGTCTTCCTCCTGGCAGCTTCGGCGGTGCATCGACGGAGGATTTCCCAGAACAAGCTCTTGCAAAACTGACGGGGCTTGCGAGCCGGGAGGCAGGGACGGATGGACCGACCGACGTACCGATGTAAGTAACTTCCCGACATGAAGCCGGCAACCGGGGCCCCCTGCGACTGCTGGGGGCGAGCTGCCGTCGCAACAGTGGACCATGTGGCGACCTGAATGCCCCCACAAGCGAGAATCAATTTCTGAACAACCTACCCTGTCGGCCTATCTTGCATCTGAACCTGAGCCCGAAAATGGGGGGCCTTCAACATAGACCCCAGAGTACTGATCACAAAAATGCACAAGTAAAGGAACCCCTGATCATCGGAAAACACCATCGCCCCATCATTTGTGGGCTCATTCTGGCTCATTTGTACCTGCCTCAACAAAGGGCCCTGCCTTGCTGTGGTCAACAGGATGACGTTGAGGTAGTCGACTCATTTCATGAGAAAGACCCAAAGAGTGTCAGCAACCTAAAACCCTAAATTGCGCCTTTAGTGATTGCGGTGATTAGGGTCTCATTCTGTTCATGCTACATCCTACAGCAGCTGCAGCTGTAGAGATTCTTGTGGAGCTTGACTAGTCCCGGTGGTCAGAGTGAATCGGTATGTCTTGTTTTGATGTGCAACGGCCTTTCTCCAAACTCCAACACTGACCAGAAGCTCAACCCTAAACCCTAAACTCTGCAACAAAGCCGAATCTTAAATCCTGAGTATCAAACCTGCACTCCAGCCCCCAACTGCTCGAACTGCCAAGACGGCCTCGTCCTTCACAACTAGCTGCACCAGTAGGTTACGATAGCTGTACGTATCGTTCACCTCCAGTCTGTTCCCGTAATCTCCCAGCCCTCTGCAACTGCGAAGGAAGGCAGGCCACGACCAAGGAGGGCTCCCAGCAGATCCGTTCGTCCTGGCTGTTCTAAGCTATTGAAACTTAGAAAACTATTCTGCAAATCAGGCCCACTTAACCATGTTTTGGGGGGAGTACAATCTGAGATTCGCACAAAGGACGGTTGAATTGTCCGGTTGGGGGCTCTTCTGCTAGTCTAATCCTCAGTGCTTCCACAGCAGGGACCGATGTTAATAAGATATGACAGCAACCCTGTCGGGCTCACACTGCCCACTAGACCGCCGAAATACACGAGCTTGCGTTGGATTCTGCCCCTTGCTATCGAATCTGTGGCCTTGCTGTCTTTCTTCTTTAGTTGCAACATGGAAGAACCTGATTCGATCTGCTGATGCTGATGATGATGATGATGATGGCGATGACGGTCATCGTCGTTGCTGTGGTTGTGATCACTCCTTTCACTGTAGCTAGTATTGCCAGATACAATGCTTGAGAACCCATGTCCCACACACGCCAAAACGGCAGGGTCCGGGCCTTGGTCTCCACGAGGCCCAAGCGTCCGCACGTCTGGTTGCCCCAGGCACAAACGTCGCCGCTCTCCTGGGGGCATAAGGGGCGGCTTTCGTTAAAACGCCACAACACACAGCCCGAGTTGAGGCTTCAGGATCGACATGCTTGTGGTGCGTTTGTTATACTCTTTTCGGGGCCTTTGTTTGGCTTGGGATTCGGGGTCCAAGACGTCAGTTCGGGGGTCGGCTTAGATTCTAAGCCGCGTAGACGGCAACTCGGGAAGGTCTATCTCCGGAAACATCAGACGATCTTTCGAGACTTACGAACTTCTTGCGACATCCCGCAATGAACTGACTTTGTCGTTTTGTCATGCCGTCAATCGAATCGCTTTGGGCAATCGCAATTTGGAGAAGTTGGCTCGTCGACTTGCGTTGGCCGCAGCTCAAGGCACTGAGCCATCCTCTAGGAGCCGAAGGCTTTGTTTGTGTCAGAGAGCGATCGAGCAAGTAAGCACGGTAGGTATGTACGAACACAAACCTGAAGAAACGCAGTAGATACCACTGCAGAGCGCCTGGCCTAAAAAAGGAGTTGCAGAGAATCCGGTGAACGTTTCACCTGCGACTCAACAAGCCCAGTCGTCGAAGAATGTCGAGGCCTAGCTCCAAAAATGCTCCAAGCATGGAGTCCCCCGAAGCCCGATGGCTTGCAAACATGCGGCGAGGCTTGCGATGGTGAAGTTGCCGCCGGACACGATATCAGTGACCTTACATCACACAAAGGCCACATGTGGCTTGCGAGTAGAGCATGCACGCACACGATCAGGACACCCGGTGCATGCAAGCTGCAGGTTCATGCAGCGGCTTCACATGCGACGGCGCTGCCACATGCAAGCCACTCTGCTGGCCTCTGCCAAGAGAGCTCTTTGATTGCGCAGGGGGCTACATTCGCAGAAGCTGTCCACAAAGCTTTCGAGTCTTCTATCAGCCTTCACAGCGAATGCTACGTCGGCACATCTGGGTTCGGTGTAGCATGACTTGGTCGTGATCCTGTGCAAACAGCTGCTGCCTGCACACCACTTCTTGCCATGCAGAACGCCGTCGTAAGTATCATGCTTCGCACTGTCAGCCCAACATACCCCTACACTGGGCCAAGGGCCATGAACTTTCTTCACGAATCCATGGGCCCCAAAAACCAAAACGACGCCCCCAGAGTTCCCCTCTGGCCTAGGCCCAGCTGCCCGTAGCGGTTGGAGCCCCAGGCCAGGAGGTGGCCGGCTTTGTCCACCAAAAACGTCTCGAGCTCCCCACCTTTTCTTAGGAGCTTTCTTCTGGCTCTCGAGGACTCCAGGCGGTCGTGGGGAAAGGCGGGTTCTATGACTTCAGTGTCTGCTTGCCGAGTATTCGACTCGCTCTCCGGTCCTAAGAAACTACGGGGAAGCCGGCCCGTTGCCCTAAACCGTCTTTCAGCTCAGCCGCAAACGACAAGCTTGAAGTGCGAGCTGCCCTCGATCAAGAAGCGCTTCGGCTGCAACACCTGCACTTCTAACTTGTGTTGCTAGGCTCTACTGAGGGTTTCGGACCTTTAGGATTTAGGGCTTAGCGAAGGTGCTCCGGAAACGGAAACTGAGAAGCTTTCTTGCGTGTAATGGGCCGAGAAGCAGGCGCTTCCTCACTAACCGTGTTGTACAAAACTCTTGTCTCTTGGTCGTAACGGTGGCGGATCTCGTCATGTGTGGTGTTTGTATTCATGCGGTCGGGCCAGGGTTGCACGCCTGGGTCAAACCGAGTTTTCTGTTTGCCGCTTGGACGAGCGTCTCTGAATAAACATTTCTTGCAGACCCGGATAGCTATCAAAGAGATTGCGCCTCTAGTCGGAATGTTGCGAGACCCGAACCGCAAGGATTCGTAAGATGCAGACCGAAGGGCATTCTGGACCTCGCCCAGGAGCGAGCCTTTGCCCCAAAGGAAGAGCTCGTCTTGCAGGGTGATCTCAGCCGGACAGCCAGTTCAGGGAGCGAGGGCTTTCAGGGTTTCGTGCTTCGGACCTAGGCCAAAATCTAGCAACCTTCGCTCCGAGTCGGGGATCCACGCAATATGACCCCGAATCACCCGGCTCTGGAAATCGCCTTGCCAAATTCATGGAAACCAAGGGTGTGGCAGCTCTTCGTTTCAACCACAACCCTCCAGGCCCATCGCGCCCTTGGAACAGCTCGACACCAAAACTTTGAACCGCATGGTGTGGCCAGACCTAAAGATGATCCCTATCCTCCCAAAGCTTCGGATGTCTTGGGGTTCAGGGCATCAAGTTTTGGGGGTTCAGGGGGACGGTACGAATTTATGTTCATGTTCCGTCCGGCTGCAGCAGCTGCGTGGTCGACGCCCAGCGAGAGCTCTCGCACCTGCCACTCCAGCCAGTCGATGCTGTAAAGTATACGATGCCCAAGCATTTCAGAATGTATGGGCATGCGAACAACAATAAATGAAAGCCTAGAAGTCCTACCTCTCTCCAAACCTCAAGCCCCACAGCAAACCAAACAGTACACCTTGGATACAGCTCTCAAACAGTAACAATCTATAGTAAGCTTACTTTGAAGGGCCTTCTATAACTATTTGATAACTATTATTCAACTGTTAGTTTTACTGAGTGGGTGGGGGGCAGTATCCAGAATACACCCTAACAACAAACCCACGCCAAACTTCCCCAACAAAAACACCCCAAGAACCCAGAAACCCAGCAGCTTCCCCCAAGAGCCCTGAGAACCCGTGGGCGCCCCGGTCTTCGGCAGCTTCACGCGCGCCGGGCGGCTGTGGGACTCCTGGCTTCCGAGGCCCAACCTCACGGCACACCGTTGGCAGTTTCGCCGGTGTTTTCGGGGTTTGGTGGTTTTGGGGGATGGTTTTGGGATGGTTTTGGAGCTTTGGGCTTGGTAAGAGCATCTGTAGGATTTGGATTTAGCTTGCTGGGCCTTCCATGCAGCTGAAGGCTGGGGCTTTAGGGGTTACTTCTTAACTCGCGCTTTTTGTCAGCTAGCATCTTGATTCACTGATTGTTATCCTTCCAGCTGCCGCGGGAGAACCGCTTGTTCGATCCATGGAGATAGATGTAGGTTTGATGTAGACACGGGTATTGATTCTGATACAGATACAAATACGTACACATGCATGAATGATGTATGATGAATGATGCATGACGTGTAATATATGCGCAACTGTGTGTACACAAATAAATAATTAAGCAAATAGACATATGTATGTGTATATATATATATAGATCTGCGTGTGCGTGTATGTATATACATGTACGTATACCTATGTATGCAAACTGTTGCGAAGTGCAGCGGCTTGTGAAAGGGGACTAGCGTCTAGGGGCCTAGGGTCCAGGGTTGTGAGGGTGCTGGTATGATCGTAGACTCTTGTCGACAATGGACTCTTGTCCGATTCGAGAGGCAATCAAATCAGGAGGATGGTGTTGTTGTAAACCTCCTAGAAAGTATTCGCTTCTGTCGCATCTCATTAGAAACTGGACTGTGCGAGGGAACCTCACGTTGTTCCTCAAATTTGAGACGCCTTGATCTGCCTAAGCACACCAAATCGATCCCAAATCGCCTAAACCCCTAAATCGCCCCACCTGCCATACCAGCCGTTGCCAAACGTCCAGAGTGTGTTCTCGGTCTGCGAAGGGCCCTCGATGCAAATGAGCAGCATATAAAAATTATGTAGATAGCATAGTATAGTTGTGTAGAATGTTGTACAGTTAAATATAGTATAGTATAGTCTAGTCTAGTATACGATTCTATAAGATACTATACTGTCTTGTAATTATAATATACGGTAAAAAATATCATGACACATAAGATAAAACAAGATAAGGTAAGATAAGATAAGATAGGACAAGATGAGATAAGACTAGGCAAGATAAGATGTTGTAAGATATTTTAAGATGCTATCATATGTTATCTAATCTAATCCACTACCATATCATATCATATCACATAATGTGATATACTATAGCAAGTGTCATTTTAACGTAATATGGAACGGTATTATACATATATTTTATATATATATATCTATCTATCTATATATACATACATATAGATAGATAGTGAGAGAGAGAGAGAGTAAGTATGTGTGTGCGTGTGTATGCGAGTTTGACTCTCGCAGCCCAGGTCAAAACTGGCACGACTCTGATTCTCCCATCTGCCACACCGTGACTGGAGCCCACTCCTGGTACAGAAACCAGCTCTGACATACTTGGCACAATCTCTTCGTTGATGTGTGCTGCATATATGAATACATGAAGGAAGCTCTGGGAACTGCAGTGGAACCGGAACAACCCTCTACATGCACAAGGATAGTCGTTCCACACAGGCCAAATCTACCGTTCCACAAAGGCCTTAATGCCAAATTTAGCAAGGAGACCTTAGTGGCCTTAGTGGACATGCACTTTCGCCGTATTCTCTGCTAAATCCTACAGACATCCTCTAAACCTGACATGCTCCTTAACAGACGAGGAACGCCCTGCCCACAAACCACTGCAGTGCTGTTTGCACCACATCTCACCTGCACGGGGGATGCAGACCCCTTGACGTCGTATTGACTTACAGGTGTCCGCAATGATTCATTACGAGATATCCTCATGGTGCGCTATGCTACATTTGAGACAACCAAACGGGGCTGACAGCAGCATACACCGCTAACCATCATTGTATCAGTCTGTTCAACAACTAGTTCAAGTTCCGAGCATGGTGCATCACTTCACCTGCGAACCAGTGCTGCACAGCATCCGGATGCATGGTGCCATGTTGAAAGGGATAACACAAATCTTGTGACATGATAAACGACAGCACACAACAAGATGCAGACCTTCCGGGACGATTTTCGAATATACCCCTCGCTTTAGCCGGCCATGTGCATGCTTCTGTCTCTCCCTATCATATGAATGAAAATAGGCAAATAGCTAGAGACGTGGACAGGTGGTTAGCTAGGCAGATGAACAGAAGATGCGTGTTCAAGCGCATGTGCCAAGCGATTCGCGGCGCTTGGTGAACCTAGAGACTGGCGTTTGGAGGTCGCTGCCGTCGCCGTAGTACGTAGTAGTAGTCGTCGTCGTCGTGGTTCTAGCCTAGCAGTAGTCGTATTCGTCGTTGTAGTAGTAGTGTAGTAGTAGTGTAGTAGGAGTAGATGTAGGCGGAGTAGAAGTAGAAGGAGGAACAGGAGCAGTAAGCGAGAGTAGTAGTACAACTCGTCGCCGTCGTCGGCGTCGCTGTGGTGGTGGTGGTGGTGGTGGTGGTGGTGGTGGCTGTGGTAGGAGCAGTCTAGCTGTCGTGGTGGTAGCAGCAGTAGAGCAAAACGAGAAGGAGGCGTCTGAATTTGACCATGCTCGCCCGGGTGTTGTTACGGAAGTGACGCATGCTAGTCCTTTTGGCGAAACAAGCTCCAAAAACTACCTGGATGATGATACTGACGACCATGTGACGAAGAGCATGATTTCAATGATGATGATGATGATGATGACGATGATGATGATGTTGGGAGGACCATGCTTGACTGCTCTGGAAGGGCAACGACACACACGATCAAGCAAGATCGCCACTCCTCTTCCTACTACGACTACCACCACCACCACCACCACCACCAGCACCACACTACCACCACCACTACTCCTGCTACTGCTACTGCTACAGCTGTCCTGCTACTTTGCTGCTATGCCACCACCTCTACTACCATTGCGACCACAACTACAACTTAGTTACGACCACGACCACGAAAAAGACGACGCTTCCTACGACTACGCTACTACTGCCAGGCGCAAACTGCTCCGACGACCATCACACATCTGCAGCCAGATTTTGCTAACCCGCTACAAGACTCTGTTCTCACAGCCAGGTCACAAGAAGCGGATTGGACTGAGGCCCGTCCGCGTCAAAGTTGACCTGCGAACTGCAGCAAAGTCCACCGAGGCGTCGGTGTCTAGATTTAGAGTCTTTTGATGCTCCGGTCCAGAAGAAACCAACACCTTTGCATAGAAACTGATCTACACCTCACTCACTCACGCGCACTCTCGAAACCTGCCTGAGCCAACAAAACTCCATCGACAACCCCCCTGCCCTCCCCTCCCCAACCACCTTCGTCGGTGTATGCAGGGGCCCGGATGTGATGAACTGTCCAAGGCCCAGGACACCACTGTCAGAGCTCCCCCAGGTGTAGAGTAATCCTGCAGCTTTGAGACTTTGGGATTGGAGGTCTTTGGGGTTGAAAGGGCTTTCTGTTTGATTGTATAGATGATTATAGATGTGTAGGTACGCGTATGTAATCAGTTCTGGATGCATGCTCGCCTGCACGTGACAGGCATGCATGTGTATTTATCTTTGCCTGTGTCTGCGCAAGCATGTGCGCATGTGTGACACAAGCATAATGATTTTCGTTGTACTTGCGCAGTGTTGCAAATGAGGTGAAGCCATGAAAGCTGACACGCATCCTGGAGCCTGAAAGCCCTGATGTGCCGACACAAGGGCTGACCAACCTTGCAACCCTCAATTCAGGTCGCCGAAGGAGGAGGCTTTCCTGATTCAGGAAATTGGCCCTTTCCAGGAAACGTACAAAACCGCACAACTGTGTTTGTTTGTTTGTCCGTGTGTGGATTTTTTGCTTACTCGCTTGCTAGCTTGCCTGCCTGCCTGCTCGCTTGCTTGCTTGCTTGCTTGCTTGTTTGCTTGTTTGCTTGTTGTTGTTTGCTTGTTCTTGCTTGCTTGCCTGCTTGCTGGCTGGCTGGCTGGCTTGCTTGCTTGGTTGGTTCGTTGGTTCGTTTGTTTGTTGGTTCGTTGTTTGGTTGGTTGGTTCGGCTGGTCGGCTGGTCGCCTGGTTGCCTGGTCGCCTGGTCGCCTGGTCGGTTGGTCGGCTGGTCGCTCGGTTGGCCGGTGGGGGGGTGGGTGGGTGGGTGCGCGGGTGGG